TAGATGATTCTCTCACTACATTTTTATTTTTATTTTTTATTATTATTTTTCAATTTCACCTTCTCTTTCTATGAAAGGGTAAAGTTATGTTTGTACTAGTAAAGGGTAAAGTTATGTATGTACTAGTGCCGTTCTAATGAGAGCGAGTGTGGAGAGATGAAAAATTGAGCGAGAAAAGATAGAAAGTAGTTAGTGATTAATTTTTGTAAATATTAAATAAATAATTATCACCTAATTTATGAATAATTAAACTTAAAATCTGATTAATGAAATACAATATTTAAATACTTGCTTCCTATTATTTTCTGATCATATTATACTGATTAGTTTGACCCATTAAATAATTTCGAAAATGATTAAAATGAAAAGTTTATTTTAATCAAAGAAGCCCAAGAGCCCGAGGCCAAGGCCCAATCTAAAACTTTTTAATTATTGTATGGGATGTGATCCGAATCCCCAACTTCTTACAAAAATTCCACACTTTCTACCAATTGGACATTTCATCTAAATTAATTATTTCTTTCACATATAAATATCTAACACATTTCTACACATATCTCGCAGGTGCCCCATTCCAAGCATTAATCACCGGTTGAACTTCCTTTCACACAAGAGTTTAAAGCCAAGTTATTTTTTTGTGTCGAGAAAACCAGGAGGTTCTGTAACATTCCGAAATTTTTTTTAAGAAAATAAATAAATTATTATATTATTTTGAAAGTGAGGGATTAAGGTGAAATAAATATTAATATATTATATATTTGGGGTCAAATAATTGGATTTTGATAAAGTAATGATATGTATATCAATATTAGACTCATTTCGAAGGTCGTAATTAATTAGAAGTCTATGACTCGAGAAAAGTTATTTTGGATAAGAACGTATTAAGTTATACCCAATTGAAAGAAAACAAGATAAATATAATTTTATATAGTTTTAACCCATTTTGAATTTGATTGATTGGCTACCACATTTTTATTGGATAGGAATGGTAGTTCTTTTAGATGAAATAAAATAATGATAAAGTACAATTTTTTTATGATACGTGCTACATTGGATTTGACTTTATCAAATCAAAGTTTTGGTTTATCTACTACTCTAGCCTACACCTATAAATACTAGGCAAGGATTTCATATTTTACCACACCAAAAAATATTCACACGTGAAAGAGAGAGAAGAAAGAAAGAGAGAGAGAGAGAGAGAGAGAGAGAAAGAGGAAAGAGTGTGTGAAAACAGAAATTTGTCATACATCAACTATCACTGTCGATCAATAAATCGTTCACAGAGTAGAGGAAGGAATTTTGGAACGTGCATTCAAATATTATTCGTGTACATTTCGATAACAAGGTAAGATACATTTATGTGCAAAGTGTTTACGTTTCCTTATGCTCTTATATGCGATTAAATATGCATGGAATGCTAGTGGACCTTCGGGTT